GGCCATTGCAGATGAGCAATGTGAGAGAAGAAAAAAAGAAAAGGAACACTGAAGAATAATTCTATCCCTGAGAAGTTGTAGCACAACTATAGCTCACCTATTATGTATACACAATCTGAGAGTTTGAAACTGTTCATTTAGATTCAGCTAATCAGTCACCGAGAGTGTCCCAGACTCTGAGAAAAATGCAAAATATTCTGGAATAGGACATGTTTTTATCCCAAGACTAAATGATCAGCACATAGTCATAAATAACCAGACACACAAGGAAACCAAGCAACAGAGAAGCAGCAGAAACATGTAGACTTCAGATGTTATGTCATAAGACACAATATAAAACAACCAAAAACTTCTAATTTTAACAAAATAAAAGGGACTTTGGAAAATATCTGCAGAAGACAACTATTGCAAATGACATAGCAGATTAAAAAAAAAACCTCTAGAAATGAAAATCACAATTGAAATATAGATGTTTATCTCAAAGAGAGATTGAATTAAGAATTAGAAGATAAATCAAGAGAAATGATTTGGAATACAGATGAGAAAGACAAAAAGATTTTTAAAAGAATGTAAAATGTGGAGAATCAAGTAAGAAGACAATGTAGGTTTAACTAGAGGCTTAGAGAAAATATAAAAGTAGTGTCATTTGAAAAGACAACAGCAAAATAGTAAGATAATAATAAGATAATTTTCTAAAATATATTAGTGACAGTCATAAACAATTTCAAGAGGCCCAACATTACAGGCAGGAAGAATAAAACTGTGGATACACATCTATCTATATATGTGTGTGTGTGTGTGTGTGTGTGTGTGTATTATATTGAACTTAGAAAAAAGAAAAAAGAAAGAATTAAAATATCAGACAACAATAGCACATGTGCTGAGAAGGGGATATATGGATTAAAAATATTCTAAGGTAATATTTTGGAAGAGGGTAAAGGATTTGATTAGCTTTAGGCTTTGATAAGTTTTTAGGTTTTGATAAGCTTTGATCAATGCTGCAATTCTAAGCAAGCCACTAACAAAATGGAAACCAAGTGTATCACTTAAACCAGTGGAAAAAAAAAATATGGAAGAAAAAAATGAAAAGAAACAGCATGACATATTTAAAGAAAGAAGCAAGAAACAAAAGAAGCACATACTGTGATTCCATTTATATGAATTCAAAATCAGACAAAGTAAACTACATTTTCTTAAGGGCTACAGATACAGGTGGGGAAACAATGAAAAGTTATAAAACAATGAATAAAATGCAATTTAACTCTGTGGCAAGGGAAGAAGCTGGAGGATTTGGTGACAAATGTCAGGAGATGAAGCTTCTAGAGGGCTGACAGGATCTTGATTTGATGGTGTTACGTAGGAGTTTGATTCATAACTTTTAAAATATACATATCTATTATACATATTACTAAAAATGGCTTTTGCACTATTTCCAAAGACAATATTTTAAACATTTAAAGTAAATTACAAATCAGAATATGTAAAAAACTATGAGACTATGAGCATCATTCTTTCCTTCATAATCCAGGAAACCTGGATGTAGTGACACCGATGGTTTTCGAATGCTCCTTTACACAGAAGGGCCAGCCAGTCTTGGCTAAAAGACTGAAAAGACTTGGCTGAAAGTTTGAAAGACCAAACTTTCTCTGATCCAAGGCAAAGTGAACAAGAAAAAAGAGACAATGCATATAGACATAGAAGGGGGATACTAGTTTCCCATTTCGGTGAAGATGACTGTATTGCATTCTGAGGCCTTATCCTACCTAGATTTGACATCGGGAGGGATATATTACGATGCCCTTCCTGTTAGAAAGTGGCCGTGGTAGTAAGTGGTAGGTTACTCTCGAATGTCCTTACTAAAATCAAACAAAGAAAAGAGAATGAGTAAATCCTTTTTCCTTGAATAGGTCACTGAGGACCCAAAGCCTATGAATCTCTAATTCATACAAACCAGTGAAATGATTCTGTGTCTATTCCCCGGAGGAGGTTGCTTTTGATAGGAATCTGACTTGGCTGCCAATGGGGAGAGTTTCAGGAAGAAAGTCAAACATGGAAGGTGCAATCAGGTACCTTTTGTGACATGAAGTATTAAATGTGAAAGTCACAGGTAAGAGCCAGTGGAGGAAGAAGAGGGCCCCAGGAGAATGTATCCGCTCCTGCGAGAGCTTATATCTAGAGCCCCAGAGGGAGCGATAGCTTCGCTTTCAGAATTATTCAGTCCTTAGACTCAACATTTATGCTGCCTATGGGCACAGAGTTCTCTCTTTGGAGCCCCCCCTTGCTGGTGTTCCTTGAGGTAATGTATTTCCTCTTCTATACATTTCTGTATCAATTCAAGTACAAAACTAATATGCTGTAAAAATAGGTTATAATTAAGTACTCCCTGTACTACACTCTATAGGATATATTTATGTATTTTAATGGCATACATTAGAGTGGACTGTAATAATTTGCGGCTACTATTTATTCTTTTTCTTAGTAACTGGGCCCATGATTGATTCTCTTGGCAGATAGCCCTGTGCCCATTTTACAGATGAGTATTCTGAAGCTCAAAGAAGTTGAATGACTGTGTCAGCTCCTCAGCAGCAAAACTGGAATGAAGTCCCCTATGGTTGAACTTCAAAGCCCTGCTCCTAGCTGCTTTGTTGCTTTGTCTCACCACGACATTAACATTCACAGATCATTCCTATAAAGATTAAAATGCCATTTATTCTTCAAACCACATTCTGTGCCACTCAGTTTCTACTGACCCCTTGGAGGAAAGGACAGACTTCTTCCCAGAAGCCCCATGAACAATACCAGCACATGTGTACGGGGGTGCAAGGGAAATACAGAAACTTGAGCATAAATCTCTTTCAAAATAAAACCACAGCATCTTTAATCAAGGCCTGGCAATCATTGTATCGTTTCTCGGAGACTGGAATTGGTAAATGTGGGCTATCCCACTAGGCCTTTAATACTTGGTTAGAAATGTATCCAAGAAGTTGACTAGCACGACAATTCATGCAGTACAAACATGAATCTGTAATTCTCTTCCCCATTACCACAAAACACAGTTAGTTCCTGCCCTGAATTCACTTTGAAGACGAGTGCCTGGGAGAAACCATAAGAGCATTGAAAACGGGGCCAGAAGTAATAAATAGGGCCTGCCAGAAAACGTTAACGAATTTTCTTCTAAAAGTAAAATCTATTGTCAATTTACAACTCTGAAGGTTGGACTGGAGGCAGGCAATTAGTGAGCTAACTTGAAAGGTCTGCCTACAGTGTAAAAAAAAAAAAAGAGTTTGCTTTCACCTGTATAAAATTAAGCGGCTGATAATTGTATCTCCTGGTACTGGGAAGAAGAGATTAATTTAAATAATAAAATAAAAATGAAGCAAAAGGCTGGAATTTGGAAAATGAAGCAAAAGGCTGGAATTTGGAATCTAATCTCTCCCAGTATCCCAGAACGTTCACAGAAGCGCTGCTCCAGTGGAATTCTACTCACCCAGCAGGACAAGGATCATCTTCTCAGCAGCCCAACTTGCCAGGCAAGCCACTTGCCTCCCTTCCCTGACTTCCCCCCTTTAGAACTCATTCAAAGGGAAGACAAAGGACCTGTGAGTGGATGGGAGTTGTTTTGTGCCTGGCCCTCAGGGGTACTTTATTTTCCTTAAAAAGATTGTCTCCACCTTACTGTAGCCCCCAAATAAAAACAAAACAAAAGCCTAGAACAAATTTCTGAGGCAGTTTAAATTAAAAATACAAAGGATTGAGATGTATTTTTAATTTATTTTTAATTAGTTTACAGATTGGACCCACCGAGACTCCAAAATCAGTGAGCCACTTGGGGATAAAGACGATTGCAATTATCAGGGACAAGCCAAATGCTACCTTTTGTTCTTCTATTTAAAAACAAACAAACAAACATCTCCTAGCAAACGATTTTCTATTTCCTATTTAAAGAGGATTACATAGCAAACACGACTAGTGGCTGGAAAGCAAAGAACTTTCCATCGTTTTATTACCTGCCAAACACAAATTAGTTCATTGTGGTTAACCGCTGCCAGGCAACCCCTTTCCCTGCCGCCCATCAGGGCGATGTCCTGCCCGGCCTCCTTCTCAATCAGGAGGGTGTCAGGGTGCTCCCCACCGGCTCCTACATGGCCTGGGTCTGGGGCTTGGGCAGCAAGGTTTGGAGCTTGAATTGCCCCCATAACTAGCTGGGGATTGCTCCTTCTTACTGTCACTGTCAAATCTCTGGGGGCAACTGCGAGGCCCTCCAGGTACCATAAAGAAACCTTACAAATTTCGCTTTATCTAATAACTACAGGATACCAAAATCCCATTAGCTCCATTAGATGGATTCAGGAATATTCAGAAAGGTTAGCTGGATAGAGTGAATGGCGTAGTCGGACCAAGATAAAAAATCACTTTGTTAACTTAGAGTGTTTCCTCATTGGTAACACCCTATATTAAGGTGCCATTTGTAAACAGTTTATTATTATTTATTAATGTATGAAGCACTTTATAGCATGCTAGATAACAACTTAAATTCATGTATTAAAGATGCACATACATGGTTTAATAGGATTTACGCCTTATAATATTCTTTAAAACAGCTTCCCATAGTCTCATCCGTTAAGCATTTATTACTAATGCATTTTATAACATACTTTATAATACATTATTTGAGCAAGTAGCTGCATTTAGCGATCATTTCATAAATAAGAATAAAGCATTTATAAATGGCACCTTAATTTAAAGTGTTACCTTCGCATTACTAGATAGCTGCTCACCATTCATCTCATTTTGTGATTATTCTCCAAATGCACCACTTAATAAAACAGACACTAAGTTCTATTTTCCCTTCATCTGATTAAAAGTTTATTGAGTCATTTCCTCCATCTGCATTCAGTCGTTGGTAGCTTGGAGGCTTTAGTGTGATTTCTGATGAAACCAAACTTTTAATTCAATAATATTTCTGTGAAGATGATAATAGTAGAAACAGAACTACCTACCACGTTAGAGAGAGCCTGCTGCTTAGATTCTTTGTAAAATTCAATTTTTCGACTAGAAAGAACAATCCAGGAAGTAGACCAGTTTTTCCTTAGGAAAAGAAAAAAGAGAGAGAGAAAAAAAAATTATCACTTGAAGAAATCATTCATAGATATTGTATAGGCAACATTTGGAATGAGTAGAGACTGTATTTTTAACTAGTCTTCATAAAAGTCTTTTCTTTATTAAAATCTATAGGTGGTAGGGAATTTGGGTAATAATAAAGACATTCTGTAATTTTTAAAAATCATGGCATTTATAGTAAACATTTCTCATTTGGAGAGCCTCACAAAATCTTTTTCAAGTACTAAAACTCCAATTCTTGTGTATTCATGGCCCCTACTCCACAGTCTGTTTTCACAGCAAGCCAAAATTAGCAAAGTAAAAACAGAAATCAGAACCCCTCCCTTCATTGTTACTTCTCTGCATTGTTTCAGTATATTTCAGAATTGGAAAAACTAACCGGCTAATGTGTCATTGCCTAGTTCAAAAAAAATTCTTTTTTTCAGAGAGAGAGAGAGCAGAGGGAGAGGGAGAGAGAGAATCTTAAGCAGGTTCCACACTCAGCATGGAGCCCTATATGGGCTCAATCTCATGACCCTGAAACATGATCTGAGCCGAATTCAAGAGTTGGCACTTAACCGACTATGCATCCAGGCAGTCCCAAAATATTTTTTTAATGTTGAATTTCAGTAGAAATCAGAAATGCAAATTTAAAAAGTAAAATGATTTTTCCCTCTTTTGCCTATCAAATTGGCAAGAATTAGAAGGAATAATACCGAGGGTTACTGAAAGGGTGGAGAAGTGGATTCTTGCATACAATTTTGGTGGGAGAGTACATGAGCACATCTTTATGGAGTGAATTTGGCAACATGTTGTCTTTTTTTTTTACATCTTTTAAAATGTGTTCCTATTTGACTAAACAAGTCCATTTCTATGAGTTTAAGTTTATCCTAAAGCAGTGATCTCATAAGTTGTTAACACTGTGTGCACAAGAATGAAGTGCACCATTATTTCTTAATTGTGCACCTAAAATATATTTTAAAAGATTAGTTGTATAAATTCCATGCAAAAACTCCTCTAACGAAATAATAAAACCTATGTTATAGAAGAATACTGATATGGGAAGGTTTTAAGACCGACCATAACACAATATGTAGTTTATAACATCCTACTGTGCATTTATCTGAGACTGTACTCCCCACTCTGAGCCCCTTCTGATGATTAATTCTCATTCATCAGAAGTCAAATATGTGTCCTAAACTGTCATCTGTGACTTCCTTGCACAGCACTTATGATAGGTTCAAAAATAATTTTTGTATATCTCACCTCTCTCTCCATCTTAAAATAAATCCTCAAAGTGGTAAAAACCATTTCATGCTTGCAGAAGTATCCTGAAGTGCTTAGCACAGTGCCTTGAACAAAGGAGGCACTACATACGTATTCCCTGAGTCAGTGACTGAACTGACTCAGCATGGGGGAAGAAAGCTGGGTGTAACAATAGTTAAATCAGGTGATAAAATCACAACTTTCGATTCTCCTTTGAATTTCTTGGTGTTTATCAAATTTCCTGCATTGAACATGTATTACTTCAGCAACTGTATGTGTATCTTTGTGTCATGAAGAGTATCCTTTTGTAGATGATAAAACAGTATTAAGGAGATTAATATATTTACGTTTCTAACCATTATATCATACTGCTGCAGGTGGCTTTGGTTTAACACTTCAAAATAACGGAATTCATTTTATAAAATTGGTAGAGGGGCACCTGGGTGGTTGAGTGTCTGCCTTTGGCTCATGTCGTGATCCCAGAGTCCTAGGATCAAGTCCTGTATCAGGCTCCCCGCAGGGAGCCTGCTTCTCCCTCTGCCTGTGTTTCTGCTTTCTGTGTCTCTCATGAATAAATTAATAATTTTTAATGGTAGGAAAAAAGTTTACAGACTTTATTCAGGTCAATAGAAACCTACACAAAAACATGTTTAAAATGGCCATTAAAGATCTCTGTGTAGCTTATTTCCACTTCTTAGAATTTAGGAGTTTGATTGAAAGGACAGTTTTGATTCAGTAAAGTTAATATTTACAACAAGATTGGATTGCTCTTCAATGCCTGAAGCTTTCTTAACCACGCATCATTGCGTTAAAAAAAACACAACATGATAAACAGAAACAAAACAAACAATATGTATATTCCAACATGCAAATATGAACATTATGTTCTTGGACCCACTTGTCTTCAAATGAAGTCACTTTTTCTATCAAATAGTGAAAAAGGTGGAAATACAACAACAACAACAGCAGCAGCAGCACAGAAAGCCACAGAGACCTTTTCCCTCCTTTCCCCTAAGGCCCACTTCTCTTTTGAGGTACCAGGAGCAGCAAAATGAATTGAGGCACCCATAGCCTTGTCTCTATGCAGGTCATAGTATTAGCTGACCCCAGAGAGAGAAAAGAAAAACATTGAAAGGACTGCTGGTCTACACTGGGCATCGTTTATCTCTACCCCTTATTTTGACAGTATTTGATCAGGGAATATGGAACACCCTCGGACTGATGGAACCCATATTTAACCTGCCTGTTATATTTCCCACTATATTTTTCATCTCCTGGCAGGGAGATACTATACCTTATTTGCTTCCAGTCTATAGCAAGCCCTGGATAAATGGTTCTGATTTGAATCTGTTTCAGATGTTGATCGTTTACAGAACGTGTTGGCATTACTCTTCCCTTCCCTAAACTTGGAACTGGAACTGGTTAGAAATGAACTTGCATGAAATTCAATTATCTCATGGTTCTTTGTTAGAACTTTGAACCACTATGAAATGTTCCCCCCTAGGTGAATGTGACGAACAAGTCAAAGAGGGTTAAGAACTGCGGGTCTCATAACCTTCGTAATAGGAATCGCTCTGACAGTTTACATACAATTCTATTTCATTTTCATTTCATAAATTACAACGTCTCTATGGTGTTAGAATAAAAGCGAAGATCTTCCCAACTTGCTTAAAATAATTTGACTTCAAAAGGAAGAGGAAAAACTGTTGTCAACATTTTAGATGCCCTAATTTCATTTTTCCCACTGTCTCTTTAAAAATGAAAATTAACACATATTATTTTGAGTACCTGCTACAGTTTGATTGCCTAGTAGATGTCTAGCTTCACAAAAAAAGAGGAAGATACCAATAATGTCCATTTACTAATACAGAAAATGAAGTTCACAGAGTTTAGGTAACTTAAGGCCAGTTAGATTTAGAGTCAAACACAGTTTCTCTGACTCTGAAGCCTATAGTCTGTTCACTAATTTATGCTGACTTTTTTTTTTTTATAGGATTAAGCAGTACTATCTTGGCTAAGGAGATTGTCGATGTCAGATTTCACTATGGTTTTGATTGAAATGCTCACGTTATAAAAGCCCGTATGCACAGCCTGTAACAAGGTAGAAGCCCAGGAGGCTCCCTTATAAGCTATTTTACCCGATGCTAATTGAAAGGACAGAGCAAAGGCCCACCACTTCCAAACTCTCCACTTCCCTTGGAAGTTGCACTGATTTAAAGGAGTCCCACAAAGGACCATTCAGCATCTCAGAAGAAGCTGGAATCTGGGGTGTGCTCCTAATGATGGCCCCTCTGTCTCTCTTCTGCTGGGAAATTATTCTGGTCTGTGATGAGCAGACTCATCTGCAGTCAGTGAAGATCATACAACCAGGAATTGAGTCAAAAGCCTCGAGTCTAGGAGTGGCTGAGAATTCACTTAATGGAAACAACTTTTAACCTATGACTTAAGTCACAGCCTGACTCTGTGAATGAGATACTCTGGGCACGTGACCATTTTCCCTACAATATCTGTCTGGTTCATTCCCCATCTGATGGGTTTCTCTTGGGCTGTCTGTAGTTCTCAGGATACCAGCAGGACAGTTTTCTCACCTCTTTAATCTAACATGGGAGCCACTTGGACGGCATTGTCAGCTCTGGAGAGAGTTGTAGAAAGGATCAATTGTCAAGGTTTTGCCCTGACTTTAACCTTTAAGGCTTTCTCTATGCAACTGAATCCTTATAGGTGACTATGTCTGGTATATTGAGAGACAACTCAGGAAATGAGTTCCTCCTACAAACTTTAAGGGCTTAGCCCAGAACAGGTGGGTCTTGCAGTTTCTGATGAGATATTTATTTATTTATTTATTTATTTATTTATTTATTTATTTATTTATTTATTTATTTATAAAGATTTTATTTATCTATTCATGAGAAACAGAGAGGGAGAGAGGCAGAGACACGGGCAGAGGGAGAAGCAGGCTCCATGCAAGGAGCCCGATGTAGGACTTGATCCCAGGACCCCGGGATCATGCCCTGGGCCGAAGGTGGATGCTCAACTGCATCCCCTGATGAGACTTTTAAAATAGAGCTTTCAAGGATGAAGCAGTTTTCAGAATGGAGGGAAAGTCCTTCTACTCCCCTGTCTCCTCCAAAGAGATGGACATCATCTCTAACTTCTTTGAGCTTTTCCACTTCTGAGAATAGTATCTGACATTTAGTAGGGGCTCCTTGAAGGTTTTTGAGCAAAAAAAGCATACGGGTTCTCAGATTTCAGGTGGGCCATGCCTCTAGATTTTTCCTGTTCTCTGTTTGCTGTGATTCACTCACAAGCACTACAAAAGCACCAACCTCCTATAATTCCCTTCTATGTTCCTTGGTTCTCTAGTGTTTTGATATGTTATCCCTGGCATTAACAACAACAACAACAACAAAACTATCTAATGCTTCTGGTTTAGCATATTTTCTTCCAATTTTTAATTCTGCTGTTGATAACTGAGCCTTCTCCAGAGCTCTTTCTGACCTCTCAGACATATGTCAATAAGATGAGCTATTCTGCATGCATTGGTCCCTACTCTGTGCAAGGTATCACACCTGGTATTTTGTATATGTCGAGTAATTAAAAGGAAAGTTAGGGGTACCGGGGTGGCTTGGTTGGTTAGGCATCTGCCTTCAGCTCAGATCATGATCCTAGGGTCCTGGGATTGAGCCTGCTTCTCCCTCTCCCTTTGCCCACCGGTCCCCCAG